GGTCCCACTCATCCCGGGTCGCCAGCCAGAACCCCCGATGGCCTGAATAGTCTGAAGCCAGCGGGAACCTAGTCAAGGCCGGTGGCGGCGTGGCCCGCCTCCCGGAGGCTCTCATTGGGCTGGCTCCCGACTGCTCTCCGTGATTGGACAACCCTAGCCTACGAGCACTCGATGTTACCAATCAAGTTGCTTATGCCGGCTGGTGGGCGGTAGCCCTCCAAAGTTTGACCCGCCCCTCTATACATTCTAATGGCTGTCGGTACTAGCTTTGTCCGTTGATTGGAGATGTGAATGTCCATCAAAGTCACACTGAGGGCATAGAGAGAAAACGCCGGCCAGACGACTTTCCTTCCTGGAGCGGACGCGGCCGGCAAGGATTCTCCGGGACAACAAGGACAGGCTCTGGGCGGGACTTTGCCGTTCCGCCAGACGCCGGGGAGGAGGGTCACTTCCCGAGAGAGGTTCCGGTTCCGAGGTCGCCGCCCTCTCTTCCAGGTGGGCGACCCGGGTTCCACAGGACCCGCGGCACGGAGGGTTGAGGACCTGGTGGCCCGGTGCGCGGTTTTGTCTGTGGGACAGTTTTTATCCACTTTATGTGTAAGGCGCTCCGGCCTGTGTGATCGCTGGGTTTCAGTCCCCGCGGCCTTCCAGCTCACCTGTGCCCGTGGGCCTGGCCCCGGTAAAGGTTTTTTGCACAGAGAGCTGCAGTGAATGGGTTGGCGGGCTCTTGGCGCGCGCCTGCAGCCTTCTCGCTCGGAGGCTGAAGCAGGAGAATCGCTTTAACCAGGAAGTTCCAGAGCAACCTGGACGATGGAGGGAGAACTTGTCTGGAAAAGGAGACGTAAGTGGGTAGTACCGCATTAGTGCTAGCACGGAATCTCCAGGGAGACTGGGCTTGTCGTTAGCGTGAGAGATGAGTAGCGGAAAGCCGGGGCGCGGAGGAGAGAAAGGAGTCTCGCCAATGTACATATCATCACTTAAGATACAGTCTTCAGGTAGAACAGTGCTTTAGAACCCGACAGGTGACTCCTGGGGGAAATGGATGAACCCAAAGAGCAGGACTCCCTGGATTCGGTCCAATCTGTGGTCTCGGAGCCGCGCGGGGTTGCTGGTACCCTAGAGCACACCAGACTTGCAGAGAAAACATACTCCAGAGGAAGCTGAGGCATGCCCGCTCGAGAGGCAGCGGTTTCATGTGCAATGTTCCTCTGATAGTTCCTGGGTACTGTTGCCACGGTGATAATGGCTGTGCTGTGTCATTATCGATCCACCAACAGTAAGAGAAGCTTTGCAGTCGAGATATTGTTTAGCAGACACAGTGGATTCTGTTGGACACTGAGTACTGCTACAAATGAGCTATTTTCTTTCAAACTCTTGAGTTGTTTAAGAAATACTTGTAGAGAAGCTGAGCATGCTAGTGCATGCCTCTAGTGTGAGCGCTCTGGGAGGCTGAGGTAGGAAAATGAAAATTTGAGTCCGGGCTGGGCAATTTAGCAAGACCCTGCCTCAAAATAAATGAAAAGCACTGGATATAATGCTCAGTGCAAAGGCCTTGGGTTCAGTACCCAGCACTGCAGAATGAACATACTCAGGCCATCACCCAGAAGCTCTTCGCTACCATCTCCTTGCCCCTCCAGTGTTATTAATGCTTGTTAATTTCCTCCAGTGGGACCCACAGTTAGACTCTTTTTGTTTTGCAGATCCATTGATTCCAGGTAAACCAGAGAAACAAGCCTCCTGAGAAATGGGACACGGGAGGCAAATGCTGCTGTTCTGAAGCAGCTTGTTTCAGAAGCCGGTGAAGTGGTTCCCCTAAAAGTAGGGAATATGCTAAATTCCGAAAAGCATCCAGCCATTTATTCATGCTTATATGGGAGTAAGTTCGTTTTGTAGAAAAATAAATATGACAGTTTGTTCCTAAAAACCTACACTGTTTATTGTCTACTGTGAATTGTCTAATTATGCTTTTGGATGGCCTAGGAGGGAGAATTTGCAAACTTCTGAGGCTCTTGAGGCAGAGTTGTCGTAGAGAGGATCACATCCCTAACCTGCTATATATATAATGCTGGCTTCGCACGTACAGTTCTTTTTCAGCTATCCGATGTTTTATTAAGTTGAGAATGCAGCTTTTGGGCAAAATTGAAAGTAATCCTCGAGCGGGAAGAGTACAAAGCCTGTCTTTCAAAATTCCAGTGGAGCGCTGGGTTTTGTAGAGTAGGGGATAAGATGATAATGGAAGCTGAGGGATGGGGAGGCATGCGGGAGAGCTGGGGGGACCCAGGGTGGCTCTGATAGCAAGAAAAGGCAGGAAAGCAGTTCAGGTGTCTCAGTCTAACTTTTTAGGGGGCTTCGGATGTAGCTCAGCGGTCGAGGGCTTACCTAGCATGTACACACACCCCCATGATCCCTGGCACCACAAAAAATAATAATGGTAATTTAACGTTTTAGTAAAACACGCCTATAAGAAGCAAATTCTGGTTTTGTCAAATACTGCTCCTGGAGTATTAGGACCCAATAGCAGTGATCATAGGCTGCAAAGAAAATAACATTCAAAGTATTTCTTCCAAAGCATTAAACTTATATATGATTGACACTTTGGTTTGGGGCTTCTTCTTTCTGTAACTCTTAATGATGAGAACATGACAGTGTACTCTTGAAACAGTGGTCGGGGCCTGCAGTCATCTCGGGTGACGGTGATGAGAGGGTTGGTCCTCTCTCCCTGGGGATGAGACATCTACAGAAACTGATTCCTCCAGGTAGGGTCCCAGGATGAAATCAACTTCACCACAGGTTAATTCCCAAACTGGTCACCTTGTAGTCATGCTGACTCAGGCATCCTAAAAATGTTTTTCTTCCCTGTGTTTATACATGGATAATACTTCACTACAATCCGTTAAAAATCATTTCCATCCACCTTTCAAAAGGTAAATTGAAGGGGCTAGGGATTTCGCTCAGTGATGCCTGCCTCGCAGAGGCAAGGTCCTAAGTTTGATCCCCAGTACCAAAAAGAATAAAAGGCGAATTCACCACCACTGAGTCCATAGCACGAACACTTACAGTTTGAGATAGGATCTTCCTGTCTCAGCCCCAGCAAAGGGTCCCAGGGTCCACGTGACATTTCATTGGGACCCTCAGCAAGGTACTGTCTCCCCTCCCTTTCCTCCTTCCCATGGCGGTGTTCTTGTTCCTCAACCCCGAGAAGAGGGTCTTTCCTAAGTCCCTGGTAGGGAAGTGTCTGTTCTGGTGCCTGTATCCCGAGAGGAAAGTGGCTGCTTGTGTTACACAAGGGGCAGAGCCACCAAACATTCCTGAGCCAAAATAGCATTTGGGACCCAGAGTTCCAGGCCCGGGAGATGCAACCTGAAACCTTGCTGTGTGCAGCCCTTGCTCTTCTTACCCAGTAACTTCACAGATCACTCACTGCAGCCTGGTAATTAATGGCTCCCTGACAACGGCAGAATCATCCTGTGATGTGTGAGGGAGGAGGCAAAGCCACCCTCCCAGGGAATCTAATCCCCAGAGAGAGCTAAAAATGCCTTGACAAGGCAGCTGTCCATGTAACTACCACTCAGGCATGGGAACAGCCTTGGGTTTGCTGACCCTTGATGTCCACAAAGAGGGCCAGCTCCCCTGCCTGCCCTCAGAGGCACCGTATTGGGGTGCAGTGAGTCCAGAGCAGACCCAGGAGGCAGGGGAGCATTTGGGAGCAGCCTGAAAGCCTCAAGAACCTGGTTCTGCCCTGGGTATGGAGTATGGGGCATGAGCCTGGCTTCCAGCCCTGAGGATCATGAAATACAGCTTGGTTTTCCTCAGATTTTTCCCACCCCTCCTAATTTCCCCTTGGAGTTTTGAAAACTGCTTGGGATGTCTGATAAAAGTTGTGCGTATTTCAAGATTTCTTTACATAAGGACTTCAGAGTGGAGGGAAACAGTTTGTGCCCCCTGCTCCAAAATGATTGCCCCAACGTGATGTCTTGTTCACAGTCATTTTTGTTCTCCAGAACAACTTTTGTGTTCATAAATCCACTCGAACCTTACATGAACACTGGGATAATGGTCCTCAAATGTTTTGGTCTCCAAATTATGTCCCCTTTGGTACTTATTTTATCTTGGTGATAAGATGACAGCGCTGTTTCTTGATATATTTTGTTGCCTTCACCTGCCAATTTTATATTCCCGCTGAATCACTGCATCACCAGAAAGCCTGGCAGAAAATTCCTGTCTGGATGGTACCTGCTGGCCCTGCCCGTACAGATCTTGGACAGAGCAGTGATTTTTCTTTAATGCTTTGTTAAGTTAGGACAACACTTTCAATCCAGAGATGAGATGAAGAAATCAAAAGCATAGTCCTCAGCCTGTCTTCCCTGTTGTCCTCCTGCTTCTTTCTCACACTGAGGCCCAAGCTCTCAGGCCTTTAAAATCATAATCTGTTGAACTTTGTTCTACTGAGAACTATATTTTATTCCAAAGCAAAGAGCCCCACAGTCAGATCTCCTATCGCATGGTTGCGTTATGAATTTAACGGGTAACCTGCTCCCCTGCTGGTGGGAGGAGTGCGGACTGCTGTATCCACTGTGGAAATCAACATGCAGATTCCTCAAAGAACTAGGATTAGGGGTTCCATTTGACCCAGCTATCCCACCGCTGGGTATCTTCCAGAATTAAGGAATCATACCACAGTGATATATGTATACCCATGTTCATAGCAACGTGGTTTATAGTAGCTAAAACTTGGAAAAAAACCCAATTGCCCATCAACTGGAGACTGGGTAAAGGAGATTTTTTAATAAAATAAAGTACTACTCTGCCAGAAAGATTGAGAAACTAGAGACATTTACAGCTAAATGGATGCACATTAAGGTGTTACTCTTAAGTGAAATATATAGGACAGGCATGTAAATACTAAATAGTTTCTCTGGTGTGAAAAACTAAAAGTGTAAATAAGGATCAGAAGGATCAGAATGTATACTTCATGATGTGAAATAGGAAGAAAAGGTCTAAAGGAGAAGTGGGATGGGTAGGGGAAAGGAAAGGAATAAATATGAGAAAAGGAAAAAAATGGAAACAGTCTGTAAATAAGGAGGGGTGGAGGGGTTGAAGGGAGGGCAGGGGAAT